TTCTGGAAACGAGCTTGCAGATACCGTCGAGGATTCTTCTGCACGCTCTTGCAGCCTAGGTAACCAACCACCCCTGTAAATTGGTTCGCTGACGCTAGGCTGCAAGGCCCGGCCCCTGTTGAACTGCTGCTTTCTTGTACATGATTCCTGGCTTCGCCTGTGTAATTATATTTTTTGTTCTGCACACATTAGTTCTTATATTTATACCCGTCCTGTGTTAGGAATGCGAGTTGCATGTGCTGTAGTTCAGTACAGAATAAGTAAAGTTTATGATGAAGTAGGACTTCTCCGGTGTCGACAATCGGTGGAACTTGTTTTTCTCTTTTTCAAGTTCTACGGGGCGTCAGCGAACTCTTAACGATTTCCATTATTAGCTCGATGGCGCCAGCGTCACCGAGGTTTGAGGTTTGACGGTGTGTGAGAAGAGAGCCGGTAAACTCGTGGCTAGGGTTTCACCCAATAGCGCGGAGCCCAGCTTGAGGACTAGCCGTATAACCAGGTGAACCACCGTCACGAAGTGGTTTGTCATCTACAACCGGATGACCTATATCCGTCCCAAACATCTGGTTTGTCATCTACTCCTTTTGTTCTAAATTACTCGTCGCAGAAATGGATGTATCTAGAACTAAAATACATCTAGATACATTCATACTTGCGACAAGTAATTCGAAACGGAGGGAGTACAACCGGAAGCCCCAAACAGGCGGCTTGTTCGGTCGTTGCCTAGATAGAAAAACATCATCCAACCAGATCGAGCGAACTCCGCCCAAACGTCTGGGTTTGAAAGAGTGAAAGCATCTTCAACCATCAAACTTGTTAAGCAGGTGTAATATTATGGTTCTGAAAATCAGAAACTGCTTCACTTTTAAGTCCTAATATTTAATAGCGGGACCCTCATATGATCATGTGTATGTTTTCCCCTCGTATATATACTAGCAAAAGGGTTCGTGCGTTGCAATGGGAGAAAAAAAAAGTCATAATCTCCAACGGCCATAATCACATTTTGCTGCATCATTGAGATAAAACCACCACTCTCAATTTCGTAAAATCATGAACATTTTTTAAACTCATGCACATTTCAAATCATGAATATTTTCAAATTCATGAACACTTTTACAAATGTTCAAACATTTCCTATATAAAGAACATTTTTGAATTCATGAACATTATATACTATTTGCATTTTTTTAAATTGTGAACTTTTCTAAACATTTTCTTGAAACGGCGAACATTTTTAGGGTCGGTGAACAATTTTTTTGAAAATTGATGGAACAATTTTTAAAACTCATGAACATTTTTTTGATTTAACGAACATTTTTTGAAATGCATGATCATTTTTTGAATCAGCGAACATTTTATGAATGAATAAACTATTTTTGTAAGTCACAAAAAGTTTTTTGAATATTTAGGTTATTTTTCCAATCATGAATATTTTTCGAATTGGCGGAATTTTTTTCAATTTCATTAACATTTTTTAATACATGAAATTTTCAAAAAATTATGAAATTTTTTTGATTTCGAAAACATTTGTTTTCAAAATTCTGAACATTTTTTGAATAAACAAATATTCTTTTACAAAATCATGAACATTTTTTGAATACATAAATATTTTTTAATTTACTAAACATTTTATTTCAAAATTCTCATTTTTTATTTTCAGAACTTTGTTGGAGATCCAAATTATTTTAAGTAAAAAATGAAAACGAAAAAAAAAGAAAAAACAGGTCGCCTAGACATGGGCCGGCCCAAACGGGCGCGTTGCGTCTTCTCCCAGCACGCAGAGCGCAATATAGGAGGTCCCCACTGCATTGGCCGAACCAGGAAGGGATTCACATGTGTGAAACGTTTTTATCACTTACATGTGGCATTGGTAGGTAATATTTTATAACTTTACAGGCAATTTCTGTGACATACCACAAGACACAATAACCTTTTTTTAAGGGAATAACCCTTTTATTATTAGGTATAGATCAAGCTAACACGGGGTATGATTTTGGTCCCGCGGGAGATGTGAAGATGGAAACGTTTCCCCTCCTGTGATATTTTTCATTTTGCTCCTTCATTTTTCTTGTATTTTCCATTCATTCTCAATAATGATGCATTATGTATATCCACACAAAACACAAGATTTTTTTTCTTTTCGAAAAGGGGAAAGACCCCCGCCTCTGCATCATCATGATGCACACAACTATTTTTATTAAAAGGAGATAAATAGGTCTGAAACGTACATAGTATTAACTAAAACGACAAAAAAACACCACATAAGGTGGGTACAAACGAAAGATTACATGACTTAACCACATAATCTATTAGTGACATGCCAGCCAAACCGGTTGAATAACATCTGTGAAACCATCTTCAGATGGTTGCACCCAAAGACCATGAGCTTCCCAGCGTCCCCACGCTGAAGTGATGACCACATACGGATTGATGCAGTGGCTCTGAAGATAACCTGCAAAAAGTTAATAGAGCGAGACCTATTAAAAACACAGTCATTCCGGCAATTCCAAACACAAGATAACTACTCAATTTATCGCCAACCTCAACCCAATATCTCACCACTATAAATATAATCCTACATTTCATATTGCACGTCCTTAGTTGGCTCATGCTCCCCCGCTTTCATCTAGTGCAAATGCGTTGAACTCTAGTCCGTATACATCTTGCCGAAGTCGTGCGGGCAGCATACTGGTTGTCACTGTGGCGTTCGTATGTGAGATCACCTTATTTACCTAATGATGAAATGCACAAGAAATATTGTGTTGTACTCCCAAAGCTAAATAAGACAGACATGTACCATTTGATGCATGGGCCAGGGGTAAAAAGTCACGACCAAGCATTCGAGTGTGTATGCGATCAATTTCACAAGTAGGAGAGGCGGGAATACATGCCATCGTCTTACCATGCCCGGTTGGACCAAGCGCCTGCTCTATGTACGCAAAACGTACAATGTAGTGAAGGACCATATAGGGACACTTATCAGGTTATAAGGACCTAAACGGAGCAGTTTCTGAATTCGAGGGCTAGATCGCACGTTTTTCAGAAACTCGATGGCTTTATTCGCATTTCAATCTTCTTGTAATTCTTGTACTTCTTCGGCCTGGAACAATGCAAAAGCCAAAAACATCAAATGGCATGGGCTAACACCATTTCTTTTTAGGGATTACTCCCAACCTCATATTGTATGAGCCAATGGTTTTTCTACTATCCCATGGGTTTTATATTAATGGTCTCATGCTCTCATCAATATGAAAGGTAGGAGAACACCCCTAGGACTCCGTCTTGTTTCCTTCCCTAATCCTAGGCGGCTAGGACAAACTTTCCCTCTAGACTTTACCAGCGAGCCTGTGGGTTCGCCTCCCCTCCACCTGCCGCTCCTATGGTCAGTGGGAGGAAGGAGAATCCCGGTGTGTCTACTCGGGTTAGTAGTTTAGGTCAGGGTTTTTTAGTCCCAGTAGATGCAGCGCTCGGGCGGACGCTTCTTCTTCGAATTTGTCTTTCGGGCTTCGATCCTTCTCGAGGTCGTCCGTTTGGACAGAGTCCACGGAGCTCCAACGTAGATTTCTACTGTCTCCTTGAGGCGAAGAGGTTAGGGTTGCTCGACATGTGCTGAGATTTGATGTCAGGTGCTTCAGATCTATGGAAGGGTTCAACGACGATGACTGTGGCTCCATACTGCAGGTCCATAGGGACACGTGCACGAAGACTTCCCAACTTTTATTATGTTTGAGATATTTTGTATTTCCGATGAACTTTGATACTTCCTCCGTCATAGTTTAGAAGACACAGTTAAATTTGCGTGTGTTTCCACAATAGACAAGTTTTAGGGCGCATTGCATTTATTTTTAGCAGCTAATTAGTACTTCTATATACTATTTTTATATGCATGCGTAGTGTGAATGCTATTTTTTAGCCCATATCACAACCAATAGATAACCACCTAGGTCCCAGAGAATTTCCAAGCGCGCCTTCTAAACCGTGACGGAGGGAGTAATAGATCTGATCCTTTTCTGTGTCTATCATGATAAAATTGAATAAGTTGTGGCATCACCAAGAATAACGAGGATCTTGGACTTTCATCTCACATGGCTCCTAAGTGAAAAGAAAGACCTCGCCTTCTCTCTACTTTGAGTACTCCCTTCATTTTTATTTAGCCCGCATATTAGCTTTGATCAAAGTCAAACTTGATAAACCTTAACAAAGTTTATAAACAAAAATATTAACCTATACAATAACAAATCAAGACCATTAAATTTATTATTGAATATACTTTCACATCATATAGATTTGTTATGGTAAATGTTTATATTGTTTTCTACAAACTTGATCAAACTATACAAAGTTTGACTTCTGTCAACTCTAATATGCAGACTAAATATAAATGGAGGAAGTACCTTCCCGGCGTATGTATTTAGACTAAAATACATTCTTTTTCAAAATCTTACCACCGTCTTCAATAGTACAAACAAGGAGGAAGAAAGAAGAAAAATAAAGTGCAGTGATGGCTCTAGCAAACCCTCGCAACACCGATTAATCTCTAAGTGATTGAGAAATACTCCCATCCGTCCTAAAATTCTTGTCTTAAATATGTCTAGATACGGATGTATCTAATACTAAAACGTGACTTGATACATCCGTATTAGCCAAATTTAAGACAAGAATTTTGGGACGGAGGGAGTACAAGTTGATGACCTTGGTTAAGAAAAATTTCTGGAGACGTTGTGCAACTTCTAATTATCTTAGGTCTTTGCGAACTTAAGAAAACTACGGAGTCTCTTGTATGATGGCCACCTTGACCTTGGATGCCAAATTGGCAATACGAACAAATAAAAGAGGAACAAGACACATACATGTCGAATAACATGATGAAAGATCGAGGTCGACCCTCTTCAACTTATGGAGCTAGTGCTTGAATGATCTAATTAAGTAGTAGGAGAGATAGTACATCCAACGAGTAAATTAAAACTGTACATATGTTTTCCAACTCCTCCTGCCTTTATTCAAATCTTGTTGTGGAGCTTGGACGGCGCGACGAGAGGGTTCTGCTGCGCGATCTGCTCACGGCCGACCTTCTTGTAGTCGAAACCGCATGCGTGCCCGTCCACGTAGCGGTGCAGCGAGCAGAAGGTGCCACCGCAGCGGCACGCGAACCCCAACAGCCCCACCTTCTTCTTGCACGCCATGCACCTGTTTGGCGCCGCCTTCTTCGCTGGCGCATCGGCCTCCGGTGCCGCCTCCGCAGCAGCTGCAGCGGTAGAGTCCTGCAGGCTCACCGACTTCTTGAAGGTGTGGATGAGGTCGTCGGCATTGATCTTCCCCTCGACGGCGGGGCCAGCCACACCTGTCGCCTTGAGGTGGTCGCGGTAGCACTTTGAGCACATGCTCTTGGTTGCCTCGCTCCCGTAGAACCCGCAGCCGTTCGCGCACAGCGGCGCGCCCCCACCGGCGGCGGCCTCCGTCGAAGACTCCTGCCCGTGCGGCATGTATCGTCGCTGATCTGATTTTGATCTAAAAGAAACCTATCGAGGATCGATCGCCTCGCGCTCGCTTATTACGGGAGCCTGTGAATCTCGCGTTTGTTGGTAGCATGGGTGCTTTGTTGACGAGGCCCTGAGGGCTTCTGGCTTATAAAAAGGTCGGCCGAGCGTGACCAGAAGAACTCCGAGACGTGCTCTAGAACGTTCTAGTTGATCTCTGAAGCCACGCAGTGGCCTTTTCGGCTTCCTTAAGCGTATTCCTATCCAATGGGAAGCAGTTGCCAAACCTCCTCCGATGATATCCAAGAGTTTCTTTTTATGGTAATACGTTTCTCATTCATCTATACTTCTTCCGTCTCAAAATTTTTGTTTTAAATTTGTCTAAATACGGATGTATCTAGTTACGTTTTAGTGTTAGATATATCTATATCTAGACAAATTTAAGACAAGAATTTTGAGACGGATGGAATATTATATATGGATTATAGTACTACTAGTACTTCCTCCAGACCTTTTTATTTTGGCATATAAGATCTGTCTGAAGTCAAGCCTCGTAAACTTTGACCAAATTTATAGAAAACAACACCAACATTCATAATGTGAAATCAACAACATTAGATGCGTCATGACCTTAGTTTTTATATTGTATAAATTTAACATTGTAGATGTTAATATTTTTTCATATAAATATGATCAAACTTTACGAAGTTTGACTGACCGGAGGGAGTATAAGCCATGTACATATCGACCTGTCAAAACTGAAAAGATAACCTTTGCACAAAGGAACACTAGCTAAGAAGTAAAATTACAAACGAGACCGAAGAATCCTTTGAGCTTGACACCAATGCCCGTCACCTGCTTTGGCACCACCACAACATCCAACATAAAAAAATGACGGATCACCTCCATACCCGAGCTCTAAGCGGCTCCATCGCTGATAAGCAGCTTTGCGGACTTCCAAGATGGTTCGCCAAAGACGAAACCATTACCGTTGAACGTATCAGACCGGGGCAACACCCCGGACACGCCATCAAACTCCAGATTTGGCACCCCCACATGACTAAGATGCGGAGAAGGAAATCATACCTGCCATCCACCAACCATGAACCCAGCAGACGATCACCGTTTTCCAGATGCTGTCAATGCAGACCACAATCTGAATCCACTCCTCGACTACCTCCCAAGCTCTGTGTCGGCGCTGGAGCAAACGTCGTCACAACGGCGGAGCCCGAGGACACAGGTCCACCACAAGGATGTCGCCGCCGCCACACCATCCTTGCTTGAACAGACTAATTTCAAAATCCATCTCGAACCATAGGATCAATTGCCTCGTCGGAGTAGAATTTGAAGAAACTTTATTCAACATCGCCATCGCCGCCATCGAAGCAAAAATGTTGAACAACCCCAAACCCTA